AGTGGCTTAGGTAAAGCACTCAGGTAGCTCAGTTGGATTTCAGCACCAACTACTATCATGCTGGATGATAACAGGGCCTGGAGCATCTGGTTGTGTCACCAGAAGAGCAGTGTGGAGAGGCGCACCGAGCTGAATGGATAGGGAGTTCAGTGAGAAATCTGGTCCTATATTATTATTATTATTATTATTAATAATAATTTTATTTATTTATTTATTTATTTATTTATTTATTTCAGCAAGATCACAGCTGTGACAGCATCATCGTTACCACTCACCGCCCGCGAGGGAGCAATGTGACTAATCTGAGCAATACGAACAGTGATGACAAGCCGGGATTCCAGGAATAGAGCCTGCAGCAGGGCTGATGCTGCAGTCCACCTGGGAAGCATCACCACACGTCCCCTGTGATTTGGCCTCCTGCAGTTTGTCTTTGTCCGTGACAGGCGTTAAAGCTGCTGCACACGAAGCCAACCAGCTGAGGTTCCCTGATGGTCACGGGGACCCCAAGGGAATGTGCAGGCATGCTTCATAAAGACAGTTGCCTCCCGATCTGAACAGATAGTGCCTGCTGCCCATGCAAACTCTCCTCTGACTCCTTGTCCTTTTGGGTGAAGATCTCTGGTGTCAGCGGCTCCCCTTCTAGCAGGAATTGGGTAGGTTGGTAGGTTTCACTAGCTTTAAAATGCAAAGTGATGTGTAAAGGCTGCGAGCTGTTTCCATTTGCAGATGTTCTGTGCAGCGGCAGAGGACTCAGCTGGGCTATTGGGGTGACTCAGTGAGAGGGGCTGAAGGGCAGGCAGCGATAGGTAGCTTGAGAACCCCTCCCCTACATCTGCCCATGCTCCACAGTGGGTTGTTCAAGCTACACAGAAATCTGACATTCAAAGTGAGCTTGGAGTGTTAAAACCCCAATACCCCAAGTCAGGATTTCTCCAGCGGTCCCATTTCTTGAGGTGCCGTGTGCTCTGGGCCTGATCCTGCCAGGGGCTGAGCAAGAAGAGACCCCACGGAATATCCGTGACTAGTTCCCCAGTGGCCTCAGGTTTATTTGCTCCTGGAAATTGAATCTGCAAATGCATTTTTAAAGGTTTTATTCTTTGGCTCGATTGTGAAGGCAGGAATTCAGAGCTGCGTTGTTCTGTGGTAACAGTTCTGATAGGGCATATTTCTGATTCTTGATGGCTGAGGCCTCCAGCACTTCTGCCCTATAGATACCCCTCAGAGTTACAGGACTACCTGCATGTCTGCCCCATCTCTGGTCTCCAAATGCCAGATGTCAGGCCTCGTAACCTTCCCTCTCATGGGGTGGAATCCCGCGATCCTCCTGACCTCAGACTGGGCCCAGGGCTACAACACACTGTGGGGGGACTGTGATTGTCCAGCAGGTCCCAATGGGTTCGACACCTGTGGTTCTTCCCTTTGTGAGTCTGTGACTAATAATGAGACGAGTGACAAACCAGCCTTCTTGAACCAAAATACTGTTTAATCTCAACAGTAGGAATAAAGCGTAACATGGGAGAATAAGAGGGTTTTCCAGGAACAGTCTGTATAAGTCTCTGACCCCAAGTCCTCCCCCTCTGATGCAGACAGAGGGAGGCCTAAGTCCTTCAGATTTCCCCAGCGGTGTCTGTCCCTGCAGTCTAAAGAGCTTCTCAGCAAAAGCTGCCCCATCTCTGGACAGGCTCCCAGCACTGGCAAAACAAGCTGTGTAACGTGGCTGGAGCCAAGAAATAGGCTCTTCCCAGCTTGTAGCTCCAGTGTTGTCTCTCAACCTCCCTGAAGTGCTGACTGAGCGATGGCTTTTCTTGATCTGTGCTTTCCCATCCTGTTTGTTTTCCAGCAGCCTGCTATTAAATTATGAAGATCCATACTGGTTTCAACCAATAAAGCCATAACATAAACATCCCAAAAGTTAGTCCAATATAATTCTACAGCAAACACCCCAACAACTGGGTTTAACACACACATTCATTATGGCAGCTCAGCTCCATGTCAGTCACAATGTCTTTCCCGGGTGCTATGGACTTTATGAATACAGGCCAGAGACAGTCAGAGAGAGAGAGAGCAATAGACTATTTTCCTGTGGAAACGAAGTTCCATTTCCATGAATACTCATGCATTTGGCATTCAAATCCACTTCCTGCGAACCATAATTATGGCTGACTAACAGCTGCTGGGGTTACTATGTGCTAGAGAGTGAGAGCTCAGGGAATGAATATTTTCTATACTGATCCTAATGCCTGTTACCAGTCCGGATACAGGCTACAGACTGACAGAACAGAACCTGAGGAGAACCAGTCAGCTATTAACCCAGGGACAGAGGAACCACTAGACTTTTGTTTGCAGAGAAGCGACTGAATGAGGGCTGAGAAACTGCAATTTTTACAGGTTCTGAAGAAATTCAGATGACAGAAGCTACATTAAGTCCCACTCTAACCTCAGAAATCATCTCTGAACAAATATCAGAGGGGAAAAAAATGGGTGGACATGTGTGTGCTAAAGTACAGACATGTAAATGTTATGTCAAAACTTGTAATTGTAATACAAATTTTACACATCAAATTTTCATGGCATGCAGGTATATCGAAAGCCATGAGCAGAGTTGTTGGAATCTCTACAGGAAGGAGCAGTGGTAACATTACTGCTTAATGACTTTTGCTTTAGAAAGTATTTCAGAAATACTCCACATACTATTTGGAAAGGTTTTATGCTATGAACTCCTTGCTGAATGAATCATAGAATCATAGAAGATTAGGGTTGGGAGACCTCAGGAGATCATATAGTCCAACCCCCGGCTCAAAACAGGATCAACACCAACTAAATCATCCCAGACAGGACTTTGTCAAGCCTGACCTTAAAAACCTCTATGGATGGAGATTCCACCACCTCCCTCAGTAACCCATTCCAGTGCTTCACCACCCTCCTAGTGAAATAGTGTTTCCTAGTATCCAGCCTAGACCTCCCCCAGTGGAACTTGAGACATTTGCTCCTTGTTCTCTCATCTGCTACCACTGAGAACAGCCAAACTCTATTCTCTTTGGAAACCCCCTTCAGGTCGTTGTTGAAGGCTGCTATCAAATCCCGCCTCATTCTTCTCTTCTGCAGACTAAATAAGCCCAGTTCCCTCAGCCTCGCCTCATAAGTCATGTGCCCCAGCCCCCTCATCATTTTCTTTGACCTACGCTGGACTCTCTCTAATTTGTTCACATACCTTCTGTAGTGGGGGGACCAAAACTGGACCCAATACTCCAGATGTAGCCTCACCAGTGCTGAATAGAGGGGAATAATCACTTCCCTAGGCAATGCTCCCACTAATGCAGCCCAATATGCGGTTCACCTTCTTGGCAACAAGGGCACACTGCTGACTCATATCCAGCTTCTCATCCACTGTAATCCCCAAGTCATTTTCTGCAGAACTGCTGCTTAGCCAGGCGGTCCCCAGCCTGTTGCGGTGCAGGACTCTGCACTTGTCCTTGTGAATCTCATCTGATTTCCTTTGGCCCAATCCTCCAATTTGTCTAGGTCACTCTGGACACTATCCCTTCCCGCCAGTGTATCTACCTCTCCTCCCAGCTTAGTGTCATCTGTGAACTTGCAGACAGTGCGATCCATTCCATCATCCAGATCATTAATAAATATGTTGAATAGTTGTGTGATACTGTCTCGTGGTAAAAAACAAGAAGCTCTTTATAATCATGGTCATGAACACAATATCTCTGCAATACCTGTGCAAGACTTTCCAAAAAGTCCTGAGAAAAAGACCACTGGTCTGTGTTTCATCAAAGAGTGGAGCAGAGGTGCAGGAAAGGGGAATGTAATAGTGGCCGTATGTAATTTTCACCATTAGCTTTTACACAAGCATGGCTGAAGTAACTTGCACACTGAAGAGGATATTAGTTCAAACCTACTGTTTGCACTATTCATACATTTGTGACATCAACCCCTTTCCCCGCCCAGATGAAGTAACTCTCCATGTCAGCTTGTATCTTTGCAGATAGCTACAGACCCTTGCATGGGAAGAGGGAGCAGTTCCAGTGAGGATGAAGAGAAACCTGTAGGATGATCAAACTTTCTGGATTTAGTCAACATTGGGCAGGCAAAGCACTTCAGCTTCTCCTGGAGAGATTCTTGGGGGTCAGAGTGTATCACTGGGAGCATTTGTTGAGGGAAAATGAATGGAGCCTGGTTCTTATCAAATTTACAGATCTAAATCTGGATTGATGCATTTGAAGTCAAAGGTAGTAAATTCAGAACGTGGCCCTGGGAATTTATCCCATGTACTGCAAAGTGTCAGTGGCATAATCTGGACTCTCAGGAGTGGAGAAAATAATTATATATATAATTTATAAATATCTTCAATGCAGCACAGATAAATATAATGACCATTTTCACCATGCACTTGCCGTGTGTTTGTACACGTCATTTTACACTGGGCCACACTCAGAAGTGAGGGCCAGAAAGGGTCTGTGGGAAAGTCACAATTGTAAAATCACACTGTGCTCAAGTAGGCTGCAGAACTCCTAGCGACAATCTATCAATGGGGCTAATAACCTAGCAGGATTCAAAGAGGGACTGGATGTTTATATGTGTAACCAGAAAATCGAATTACACTAGTAAGGACTGATTTAAAAACTCTTGGAATGGCTCTAAACCTTCCTGATTTACACCACAAAATATCTGTAACTAGTGGGTTTCGGGGGAAACTTTTGTTATCTCATAGCTGCCTATTGCAGGGCTCCTTCCACCTCCCTCTGAAGCATGTGGAACTGGCCAGTGGATACTGGGATAGATGGACTACAGGTCTGATCCAGTCTGGCAATGCCTATCTTCCTATTGGCCTAAATCCAAGACTTCGTTTTTGCTCATTTTTCTTTAGCTCCTGGGAGTCTCCAGACTTGTATTAAGAGCAGGAAGATGTCTCGTTCAATATCATCTAGTTTTCTGTTCTTTTTCCTTTCAGGAAGGAAAGTTCAAAACTCCTTGGATCTGCCCAGTACATAATGTCAGATGTCAATGACACCAACTTCACCTCTGCAGTGTTCATTCTCACTGGGATACCTGGGCAGGAAGACGTTCATCTCTGGATCTCTATCCCCTTCTGCTTAATGTACGTTATTTCAATAGTAGGAAATTCGATCATTCTGTTCGTTGTGAAAACAGATCCAAGCCTCCATGAGCCCATGTACATTTTCCTTTCCATGTTGGGCATCACAGACCTTGGCTTATTGATAGCCACCATGCCGACGATACTGGGCATATTCTTGTTTAATTCTAGGGAGATCAGCTTTGATGCCTGTTTTGCCCAGTTGTTCTTTATCCAGTTACTTCAATGTATTGAATCTTCCGTGCTCTTGTTGATGGCCTTTGACCGCTTCATTGCAATCCGTGACCCGCTGAGATATGCCTCCATCTTAACCCTGCCAAGGATAGCGAAGATGGGACTGGTGTGTGTTCTAAGAGGGGTGGCCGTAATACTCCCACTCCCCCTTCTCCTGAAGAGGTTCCAATACTGTCGAGCCAATGTCCTCTCCCATTCTTACTGCATGCACCAGGAGGTCATGATGATGGCTTGTTCGGATACCAGTGTCAATAATATCTATGGCTGGTTTATTACAGTCCTAACAGTGATATTGGACTCGCTGCTCATCTTCCTCTCTTATGTGATGATTCTCAAAACAGTGCTGAGCATTGCATCCTACAAGGAGTTCCTCAGGGCCCTGAACACCTGCGTCTCCCATCTCTGCGCCGTCCTGGTCTTCTACACGTCAGAGGTCAGCCTGACTTTGATACACAGATTCGGGAAGGGCTCTTCT